CTGATATGACTGGTAACGGGGCTGTTCCCCTTAGTAACCTCCAACCTCCCCTACAGTCACCCCATGCCTCGCCTGAGATTACACACTGTTCTGATCATCAGTCCATCTGCTGATGCTATACATCATCATTACTCTGCCCGTTAATGATGATCTGATATACCCGCAGGTATCTAAACTTACCGACGCATCGGTCACTGATTTGGTACTGATTACACACAATAAGACATAAAGCATAGAAACACTATGCTTTACTTCACATATAGAAATAGGTAAAACATAAAATGTTAAAGGACTTACTGATACACCGTTCGATTCACCAATTACCTCGTTATCGGCCCTTTTCTCTGATATCAGAAAGTTTTCCTCTTATTATTATTTTCTGAGAGAAAACCGGGTTGTCACAATGACAATTGCTCGTTTTCGCGGTAAAGAATGTGTTGCCAGAATATTAACCGACTATCTACCGACATGATATCGCATTCGCGACACTGCCACCGAGGAAGATCAATAAAAGAATATATGTGAATCAATACTGTAATTAACATCAAGTTTCAATTGTAATGATTCATCGACAATTTCGTGTTATACTTCAAATAATTTGATCAACAATTGTGATGTCCACGCTCGGACTATCTCCCTCGCTCTAATCGCTGATGTTCTAGCTGGTCGTTTTGCGCTATCCGTTAGGGCTTGCAAAGGTAATTCAACGTCATCCTGAATGTTACTGATCACGGGAGCCTTAGTTTGAGAAGCGCGTTGTTCCACACTGACAGCTGGTACCTCTAGTTGAGAACTATTCTCATCGATTTGTGAAACGTCTGTTGGCTTTTCAACTGGAGCAGTATCATTGATTGGGGTTTCTTTAGACCAGGGATCTGTTGTGATCATAGAGTCATTCTGATCAGATGGAAGTACTGTACACTCTTCATTATCTATTTCGAGAGGAAAGAGATGAGCAATTGATCTGGTAAATAATTCTCCGTTAGTTAGTCTCACTCTCGCTACTCTGATCTGTCCGTCCGAACCGTTGACTAAATCTGTTATCCTGCCTACTTTCCAATGAACTCTGTTACCAGGCGATTTTATTTGAACCGTATCGCCTATTTTCGGAACTCTGTCAACTACTACTCTGGACTGACGATGTTTATCATTTCGCTCGCGAAGACTAGTTAAATACTGATTAGAAAACATTTTAGAAAATTCTTTTATAATAATCTGACCACGTTTCCATCCGTCAATAAGATTAGTTTTAGTTACTGTTGTAGAAGTCAAAAAATCACGATCTGATGGCTGAGTTGTAAATGAACCACCTATATGCAAGAAATCAGCAGGCGTCAGTACATGTTCTAGTTCAGCACCAACTGTTGTTCAAGGTCGTGTGTTTATAACAGCTTCAATTTCTTTAATTATAGTACATAACTGATTATGATTCAGTAAATGTTTATCGACCGACCTTTTGAGACAGTGTTTAACGAGTCCAATGAGACGTTCGTAAAAGCCTCCAAACCATGGAGCCAGTTCCGGTATGAATTTCCACCTAACATTGTTTAATATGCAATAATCGGAAACCAATACTTCAGCAGTGAGCTTAAATTGTGATGCGTTATCAGATATAATTAATTTAGGTAAACCTCTCGCAGAAATGAATCGCCTTATAGCTAGTAGGCACTCTTCAGCTGACAAATCCTTAACTACTTCCATGTGTATTGCTCTAATGGAGAGACATGTAAAGAGACATACCCATCGTTTTTCCTTCGCGACCTCATCTACGAATAAGGGACCGAAGTAGTCCATTCCGGCAAAAGTAAAGGGTAAACTAAGTTTTGCTCTCTCTGCTGGCAGGTCTGGAATAGCTGGTAGTTTGAATGGACCCCCGCCGTATTTTACACAATTCGGACACTTTCTAATAACCCTTTGTACTGTAGCTCTCCCATGTGATACCCAAAAGTTATGTCTTAACAGAGCCAGAGTGTGTGAAACGCCTACATGGTAGTTCTTTTTATGTAAGTCCATGATTATGTTTTGCGTGAAGACTGAGTTTTTTGGTAGAAGTATAGGTTCTTTTTGATTGTGTGTTAAATCCGTATACTTGAATCTACCTCTGCATCGAATTATACCATTTTGATCTTTAAATAATCGAAGGGAACGCGACAAATCTGTAATCTTGTCTTTAAATTCATCTGGAAAGTATTCAGCTTGAATTTCTAAAATTCTTTCAGTTGTTTTGTCTAATTCTTTAGACTCTTGGTCGACAGCCATTGATCCTGCTCTTTCTACGTCAGATACTGCAAATACTTTCGTAAGACCATGCCCGACTAAAGAAATTTGAGTTTGTGCTACATCTACTTGATCTGTAACTGTGCCGACATTGAACCATTTTGATGAATCCTCTGACAGAAACTTTGGACCTTTGAGCCATTCTTTATAAGAATCTACGCATTCAGGCCTAGTACCTAAGTCAGCTGGATTCAGTTTCGATGGCACGTATCTAAGCTGTAAAGATCTATTTTGCTTTATTTCATTGATTCTGCGCGAAACAAACGGCGGAAGTAACTTCTCAGACCTATACCAACTTAAAACAATTTGACTATCAGTCCATAGATATTGTGCCTTAATCTTGTGCCGTAAAAACTTATGTACGTATTTTAAAAGTCTGTAACCAATTAGTACTCCTAGCAGTTCTAGTCTTGGAATCTTCAAATTATTCTGATCCTTTAAAGGAACTAATCTACTCTTACCAATAACGAAATTGATAGTATTTTGAGAACCCAAAGAACAACGTAGGTATATGACTGTGGCATACGCTTCCAAGGATGCGTCTGTAAAGCAGTGTAATTCATACTGGATGTCATGGCAAGAATTATTAAGATTGCGAGCGTAAAATCTGTCTAAATGAATTTCTTTCAGGTATGCGAACTTCGATACAATTTTATTCCATTCGGTAAGTAATTCGTCATTTAGTTTAGAATCCCATTTAATATTATGCTTCCACAATTTTTGTATAAATAGTTTTGATGGCAGTATTATCGGTACGGCGAATCCGCAAGGATCATAAACAGAAGAAACAAATTTTAGGACCTCTCGTTTTGACTTGACAGAAATTAATGCATTCTCATCTAGATCGTAATTTAGACAAAGTTTGTCGTTATTAGTGTCCCAAACTAAACCTAGAACTTTGACGTTATTCTGATCCTGTGCCAAAGACTTCTTTGGAATCCTTGAAACTAACTCATTTGAATTGGAACACCAGTCATGTAAATTCATTGATAAACATTCAAAAATTTTAGTAATGGATTCATATAAATTAAATGCATCTGAGACTGTTTGTACACCGGTAACTATATTATCTACGTAAATATCTTCCGCTACTTGTTTCATAAGAGGGCTACCTGTTTTAACAAGATGAAGCCTTATCGTCGCATTCAACAAGAAAGGACTCGAGATGATACCGAAAGGAACTCTGGTGAACCTTAAATGTAAAACGTTGTTGGAATCGGCTTTCTCATCTAAATTTTTAATCCAAAGAAATCGTGTTACATCTTTGTCGGAATCTTGAAGACCTAACTGTAAAAAGGCCTTTTCTACATCGGTAACAATACCTAAAGGATGTTCTCTGAACTTGATAATTAACCCAGTTAAATCTTCTAACAATTGAGGCCCGCAATACAAGCATTCGTTTAAAGTTCTACTCTCTGGATTTGTTTTTGCGGATGCATCGTAGACTATACGAATCTTGTTAGGTTTGTCTCGTCTGTGTACACAATGGTGAGGTAGATAGTGTACTGGGTGTGCTTGGGATACTGTAGGATTGGATATAATTTCAATAATGCCGTTTCTTAATTGCTCTTGAATTACGTGATCGTATAATTCAACCTCTGTTTTATTTAAACGTTTCAATAAACTATTTAGCCGACCCCAAGCTAAACCTAAATTATTAGACAGATTCGGAGGAAATTCTGCCCATGGCCATTGTACGTAATATCTGCCGTTTTTGTATACAATGGTATCGTTAAAATGTTGTATAACCTCTTCATCTCGTGTGGATTTGGGAGAGTCCGTAATACCAATAGATTCAAGGTCCCATAATCTTTTAACATCAACCTTTAATGGGAGATCGGGTTCGTTAAATTTATTGTCAAAACCTGCGTTCAATTGGAAGTAAGTTAATACTGATAAAGCATCTGAATTTTCAACAAGTTCGTTAAGCCGTCCCGACCACACCCAGCCAAAATCGGAATTTACTAAAAAGAGACCCTGAGTAACCAAAATCCTTTCATCTGACATAAATGAGTGGTAATAGTCGTTTCCTAATAAAATATCTATCCTATCACCACAAGATCCATCATCTGCCAATATCAACTCCTTTTGTGTAGAACCATCCCGTGTCGGTATTGGTTTATTTATAACAGGCGTGCGAATGCCGTGTGTTATGTGAGGCACCACATTAGTATGAATACAACGGGTAATACCAGCACGCGTTACTAGTTCTATATTGACAACTGGACTTTCAATTTGATTTGGTGATTTCGATCCGAATGTAAACATACATAAGTTAGTTTTCTCAACAATGGGTAAGCTTAAAGATCTAGCAGTAGCGTCTGTAACGTATGACCGCTGACTGTCACAATCTAGTAAGATTCTACATTGTAAATATTTGTTCAAATTAATATGCTTTGAATCGGAATGAACTTTGGCCTTTACGACACTAGTTTGAAGTAATGTCGTTTTGACATTGGAATAAGTATGTAAGGTTTCAGTTTGGATTAATTTAATGGGTTTGCCTAATTTAACAGGACAAAGGGCTCGGTTATGAAGACCATATTTATTACAATGATGACACCTGCGTTTCGAGCGACAATTGTCAGCCCTATGTCCAACTACAAAACAATTGTAACATCGCTGTCCTATCTGTGATTTCCTATCTCGTAATGTTGTAAATTTTGTGCATTCATCATTAAAATGATCTTGTTTACAAAATATACATTTTCTAAATTTCTTTTTCAGGGGCTCATTATTTCTGTCTGAGGACTCGTTTGATCTTTTACGACTGAATGGTTTAAGTTTACTTATCTGTTTATGGAAATTGTTTTTATTTGGAAATCCGGTAAATCGAGGTGGTTTTGCACCGTTTTCGTGTTCAGCGTTTACATGTAAAGAACCTATTGTAAAGTTATCCGATTTGAACTCTGACTTACACATATCTGAATTTGTTTGTCCGTCAGTCTGTTTTTTCAACCTATTAGATGTTTCTCTAGCAGAGATAATGTACGCTAGATGTTTTCGAATACTATCTATAGAATCGTCTTCATCGGCAACTTTCATTCTAACTTCGTAGATCAAGTCTTCAGGAAACTTTTCCATTATCATCACCCTCAAATGGTTGTGATTCACATCTTCTCCTAATGATTTTAATACTCGAAGGTGTCTTTCGATTTCATTAAGAACACCTCTGCAATCTTTTACTTGATTACCTACTACCGACTTAATTCTATATAATGCTACGTAATGCGCATCGATTATTACGGTGGGTTTACCATATCTTTCCTTGAGAGTATCGACGGCAATTTGGTAATTTTTATTCGTAGTGTCTAATCCTTCGATAGCTTGCTTAGCGTCACCTTCAAGAACCGATTTAAGATATAACAATTTATCAACATCGTCGATGTCTCTATTATGTACGTTTGACGTAAACTGGTCCCAGAATTGGTACCACTTAAGAACCTCGCCATCAAATTTGCTGAGTTCCATTCTGGGTAATTTTCTTGTAACATTTAAACTATTTTCACAATTGGACTTATTATCGCCTACACAGCTATGTTGACGCTGTTTTATTTTAACATGTATTTCTGAGATTAAATCTTCAGCTTGAATTTGAGCTGTGGTATATTGGTCAATTTCGTCATCATTTGGTTCGGCTATTGATTTGCAGTAGTTCTCGATTTCTGTTACAAATCTCTTTATTGACGTTTGTAACTTTGATTCTATTAGTTCTAACTCAAAATCATCAGTTTTATCATCTGTTAAATTTTTAAGTTGACACTGGGCTAGCTCGATATATGACTTAACAGATTCATACATTAGCTTTAAACGAGTTCGGAGGACGTTTTCCATCTCGACTTAAGTACAGTACCTTACCTACGTAATAGACTCTTAACTAGGTAATTAGAACCTAGTCGGCAACAGGATTCCCCCTTTTTTTTTAAATGTAAAACAAATAAACAATACTGGTATTCTTGCAAGAAAAGGTATTAATTTTACACAAATATCAATATGGAATATCTTGATTAAACTATCAATAAGTGTAAGAATAAAATTAGTAATTATGCATGATCCTTTGTATGGCTGTAGTAAGATTCAGTATAAAACTGACATAAGACGGCTTATTTCCCACAAACTATTGAAGATAAAGCATCTAAATAATAATGTTTTCCTTTTATGAATTTCATACAAGAGTGCACTTGTCATCATCTCTTAAAAATTAATCAACTGAATAATTGTCTAATATCATCTCAAGTCGGAAGGTACAGTCAACAGTTTGTCATGTGATACTGAACTGTCACACTTTAATGTATTGTAACTTTAGATCAAAATCATTTGAGAAAACCCACTTTACCATGGCAACCTTATATGCAACCATGTGTACCCATATAAGGCATCAATCTTTATTTAAATTGTTATGATATTTAAACTGTTATGAGTTGCAGTCTATCTACATGATGATAATTGTAGGCTTCTAATTAAAACAAACTATTTTCAAATACTGACAACCATACTGGGTAGGTAGGTGGGTACCTATTTTTATAAAGCAAAAAAAAAAAATAATTGAAAATCTTAAGATTTTAAGTGTGATTAAATAACAAAACCACAATTTAGTTGTAAATAAATATTAAATTAAATAAAACCATAGTTCTGAAAATATCTTAATTGATCAATGAACCTCTTATAGAGTTAAAAATCTTAAATTAAATCTATAAATTCATTGTATGCACTATGCAAATAGCTTTAATTATAAACAATATAATAGCGTTCAAGTTAAGTGCATTAGCCCGATGAGTTGCATTCTGTATGTATCTACTTATACAAAATTATAAGGTATCTATTCATATAAATTAAAACCACATATAAGGTTGCTATTGACATCCCCGCAAACAATAATTAAAATTTTTATTGGTACTCAGACAACAACAACCACATTGTATTTAAAATTTATTTAAATGAGTAATTTTAAATATGGGTGCTATACAATTCCTTTAATACATTATCTTAATGTTGGAAATCAATGACATAATAACACTTGTGTTGTACTTGTACACTAGTATTGAACATTTTGTTTAGCAAAACTGATGATGCATACAATTTTGTTTCTTATATGTGAAGAAAGTCTTGGCGAAATATATAGAAGAATATTCGTAATTATTTCCATCCCAGCACCTCCACCATGTCGCCAAGTGCTTTAATGGGTAATAAAATGACAAGAGTATCTGAGTTAATTCACACATTCTACAATGTCGCACTGATTATGATTCGCAAATCATTGAAATCTGCTAGCACTGATATGACTGGTATGCTATACATCATCATTACTCTGCCCGTTAATGATGATCTGATATACCCGCAGGTATCTAAACTTACCGACGCATCGGTCACTGATTTGGTACTGATTACACACAATAAGACATAAAGCATAGAAACACTATGCTTTACTTCACATATAGAAATAGGTAAAACATAAAATGTTAAAGGACTTACTGATACACCGTTCGATTCACCAATTACCTCGTTATCGGCCCTTTTCTCTGATATCAGAAAGTTTTCCTCTTATTATTATTTTCTGAGAGAAAACCGGGTTGTCACAATGACAATTGCTCGTTTTCGCGGTAAAGAATGTGTTGCCAGAATATTAACCGACTATCTACCGACATGATATCGCATTCGCGACAAGGGTGCGTTGCGTTTCCTCTGCCTTAAAAAAAAGGTGTAACGTGGATTGGATCTGGGCTCTATCAACTATAATTTGACCTTGCCTCTTTCTAGATTGGTCCATTGGTTGGAGAGCACTGATTTGAGGCTTAAAGTGCATTTAAGCCGCCAATATATTCCGAGCTCTATTAACAAACGATTAAAACCTAAATTGGTACTTACAATACAATACTTCAAGCATTTGTTCTTTAATGTTCTAGTCTTAAAGTTAGCTATAGAATGTAAGTTGAAAATAGTGAAATCGAATATCATCTGTATTATTTTATTATAAGGTCAAAGATCCTGTAATTTAAAGAAATATTAGGTGCATCAAGTATCAAGAAATTTTGAAAAGATATAACCGATAATTGTAAATTACTTGGTACTTCGATCTGTTCCAGTAAATACGCCTCACGTCTATTATGTGAGTCATCGTTAAATTGTGATCACGAAGCCTACTCACCGAGCTGTCAAATATGATCGCTAGCAAACTAACGAATATCGATAACTCGACAGTTAAATTTGATTTGCGCCGAACAAAACCGATACATTTAATAGGACGTATTATTGTCTGTCGCAAGATTGCAAAACTACCATAAACAACTAGTAAACCACTATTATATTTGATCAAATTTTCATTCACAATGCTTTATTTTGCTTTGCTATTGAAGAATATTCAAAATGAAAAATGCTTAAAAAATCCACTTCGTCCCTGGCACTCTGAGATGGGACTTGAAGCCATGACCTTTCGCAATCCGGTAAATCATTGGTAAGTTTGTATCAAAAATTTATGTTATATAAGGTTTTTATAAACACTATTCACAGAGTAGTGAGCAAAGAACAAAGAGTATAGTAACAGTAAGTAGGAATTTAATGTTTTTTTGAATTTATAATTATCCCTTTATATTTGAATATAAGAAGAGAATCATTCATATCCAAAAGACGTTTCTTTACTATTGTGCTGTAATTAACTATTGTAGTGGCGATAACCGTTAAAATACGATACTTATAAGTTAGCGACCGAATTAGGTTATATTGTAGTCGCAAACTTCACAAAGGCTCGACTTAAGATGTGTGATCAAAAATTTGTTATCACGAACTTCTCCGTGCTTCGGACTCGTTAAGCCATGAGCACCGAACATACAGTAATCTGCATCAATCTCTTCCTCTTTGATTTCATTGTTAGAGAGGGTCTATGGCCCAACAGTGGGGACATTATAGGTCGATGGGAAGCTTAATAATAAATTTTAATGATATTAAAGAAAGTCTCAAGATAAATTTGTTATAAAATAAAAAATCTCCATAATAGTAGATTAGGTATCTATAGAGACTTCAATTTTCGTCACTTAGACGCCATGACGGTTTATTGCATGTAAAAAATAGAATCATTAAAGAAACCAATAATCAAAGTTCTATATTATTTTCTAAGACATTAAAATTTGTATAGTTCACAATATATCAAATGTATCTATCGTATTATTAACTTGTCCATATTCTATCCCTATAGTGCTGAAAGCACAATAAAAATTACCGTATTGATTTATGAGGAGGTCGAAAGAGCAGTGGTTAGCTTGTTCTATCGTTCTATACTTTCGAAAGGGCCGGTAATAGTATGGGCGACCAAAATTTTATTCAAGCTCCATCTCATCGCATCTGCAGTTGTTAACATCCATCAATCTGGATTGGGTCCACGTGATGACCTCATTCACTCCGTTCAATTAGATTTGACTGCATCCATAGAGGAGGCCTGTGCTCCAGCAGTGGGGACATTTCTGTCGAATGACAACAGACATATTAACACAATTGATAGGATTAATGCATCAATTTTTCTATGCCCATGTTCAATACAGGAAGTAGTAAAAGTAATTAAAAACTTGAAAAATACCAAATCTGTTGGATTTGATGACATTCCTACTTTCTGAAATAGTGTGCTGAGTTAATAGCCCCCCCTATTTTAGTTTGTTTAATTAATGCCTCGGTAACAGAAGGTAAATTTCCAGATAGATTGAAAAAACTATTGTTAGACGACTACATAAAAAGAACAGTAAACTAGATGTACCAAACTATAGACCTATAGCATTATTGTCTGTATTTTCGAAAGTATTTGAGAGACTGTTCTTAATGAGATTAGAAAAATTTTAAGTCAAACATAAGATAATCAAAGAAGAGCAAAACGGATTACAAAAGAAAAAAATCAACGATACTCGCTTGTTTTTATCTGAATAAAGCAATAACCGAAAATCTTGATAAAAAGAATAAGGTGACTGCTATATTTTATGATATGATAAGTGCTTTCGATATGGTTGATCATATTATATTACTGGATAAATGTGAACGGTACGGTATAAGAGGTCCGGCGCTAAAATGGATTCAAAGTTACCTCAATGGTCGTGTGCAATGTACGAAAATCAGTCGTGTTGATCCTAGTGAAACTTCCGTACATTATAGATCTGATTATTACATTTGCATGGCGTTCCACAAGGTTCAATACTGGGCCCTCTCCTTTTTTTAATTTATATAAATAATTTACCTTACATTAACAATCACCAATATATTTTATTTGCTGACGATATATGTGTACTTATACCAGAAAATAAAAAAGTGACATTTCGTATATTGATACGATTTTTTCCAGTGTCAACGATGTAATGACATGGTTTTATTCGAACAAGATACAAGCTAATCTGACGAAAACAAAATGCGTTCAGTTTTCGAAATATAATACAAATGTGCCAAAATTGATGCTAAATTATCAGGGACAAGAAATAAAACAGGCATCTGAAATTACATTCATATGATTAACAATGGACTCTTATTGCATCTGGAAGATGTTCAAAATTTGTGTAAGAGAATTAACAAGTTTGTGTATGCATTAAAAGTAATTAAAAGTACTGCCGGTACGGACGCTGCCCTTATGGCATATCGTGGCTATGTCGTTTCCATTTTAAGGTATGGTCTTATTTATTGGGGAGGCAGCTGTGTATCAAATAAAGTCCTTATAGCACAAAAAAATGCGTTCGAAGTATAAGTGGTTCTAAACCAAGTGATAGCTGTCGATCGCTATTTAAAAAAGTGAATTTATTAACATTAACCTGTTTGTATATTCTAGATGCGGGTTGTTTCGTTAAAAATCATCCTCACTTATTTGAACA